GCAGGGAACACACACACACATGCATGCAGCCAAATTTAGAGACACTGCATGACCTAACCTAGCCAGCAGATCTTTGGGAGGTGGGGGTAAGACTTTGGCAAAATCCCACAAAAGAAAACAAAGTGAGTGTGCAAACTCCACACAGAAGGGACTCCAAGCTGGAATCCAACCCAGGATCCAAGAGCTGCTCCTCCTGCATTCCATTGGAATTTAATAGTAATTGTATTCTCTGTAAGGGGTACACTTTTTAATTGCTTAATTGCGCAGCTATATCTATAGCACTCTTACGGGTAGGATTTGATTGTCTGTCCCCGCATGGGACAGTTCTTATAAGGTCATTTGAGGAGCTCTGTGTGGCAGTCGGCAGACATGATCAGTCTATCAGTTGTCTTTGCAGTGACTGTCTCAGAAAACTCACTGTTCCTCAGGACTGTACTTCAGGGTTTTCATATACTGAATCAGCCTGCCAGGGATTGCTCTGCAAGCAAAAAAATAATAATTGCCAACACCTCTTGGAACCTTTACTGTTTACAGCTGATAAACCATTGTGGAAGAACATGCTCATGCAGACTGCTGGTGCATTTCTCTTTCCTTTCCCTTTCTTTTCCTCTTTTTCCTTACTAGAGCAGTACAAATATGTATTAAAGCACCAACCCATCGAAATGCTTGCATTTAAACTGTGACAGAAGGACTGTCCGTAAGGTGTGTGGAGTACAGGCTGCTGTGGTAATTATTCCTGTGTCTGGCTTGATTCTGACATTTGTATTTTGTCATCCCATGTTAACTACATGGCAGACTCGGATCGATTGTTGGCTTTACCTACAGTACATGTGAAGATTAAAAGCACAGAAGGGGATTGTTTGACACATTTTCTAGCCTTTGCTTTGAATGAGATCTAAATTGTGATGAGCAAACCTGACATTCCTACACAGGGAGGATGATCAAGCACTTCATCATCAAGGGGCCCCCTGGAACACATGGACAAGGCCTAGAAGGGCAATAAACCTGTTAGCTTGACACAGGATGCTATGCTGTTGCTGGCTGTAGCACCTGCACATAAGCAGCCAGAAGGAGCAGGGATGCGTTTTCACAAGTAGCTGTCAATAAATCCTCACATTAGATTTGTTCCATGATATCAGGACCCATCAGGATGTGTGTTCAGCTCATTAGAAGGTGGGCCCTGTTGAGTGTTTAAAACGATCTGACTTTCTATTATTATTCTATGATCTGACATTCTAATATTATTTGCATGAATAATTTGAAAATGGTGCCTGGGTGCGGCCATGTACATTTTGTTTTTTTAGTGCTGAAGCCATGCGGTGATGACAAGCATGGCGTTGTGCTTTTCCCAGAGCAGGAGAAGTGATGGTTACACTGTAGTAATAATGAGTTCTGCTGAAGCGGCGCACAAGATCTAAACGTGCACTGCAGGCGTCAGCTGTCTTCTGGGCTGGGGTGAGTGGATGCCTTTGGTGACCTTTAACCCCCTGTCGCCTGTGCTGTTGGCGCTGGACAGAGAGTGGCCTGGGCCATGTTCCGAGTGGCTCCCCTGTGCATCCTGACAATGCTCGTCTTGAGACTGCTCGGACAGGAGAGGTCAAAGGTTATCCTAGTCAAGCTGTGCTCTTGGCTTTTAAAGTTCATATTGCACATGCAATAGAAATTGAAGGAAATAAGTGGCATTACATTTTCCTTTATTTTGCTTTATAAAGCAAAAGCCAAGTTGTTATTCAATAAACAGCGAAGGAGAAAATAACAAAAGATAGAAGCCTGCTCTGATGGTTTGTAAGGAGGATCTTTGCAGCTAAGAAGTTTTGTTTGCTTTGGTTGAAAGAGGAAAAAACAGAAGCGGGGTGCGAGCATAGATCGATTGAACTTTATGTTCAATGGAACCTATGGTACAGTTTAGTCCACAAAAGCTAGAAAAATGTTTTGTAGTGCAAAGATTCCCGTTAGCAGAAGATTCACAACTGTCTACAACTGAAGCTGTGCAGTGCAACTGAGTCTAATTTTAATTTGAATCGCCTGAGCTCAGTTGAGCTGGAGGGTTGAATGGTTTGCCTCATGTTACCTGTGAAGTGAATTCAAATGTAGAGCCCACAGTCCAAGTATGGTACGGTAGCACAGCTATCACCCGTGTGTTATAATGGAACAGCAGGCGATTTGGTTTCTGAACAATGTAACCCTCCCCGTAAGGAATAGATAATTCTTAATCGGGTGCCTTCTGTAGTCGGGATAATTAGCCTTTGTAATGATTTGCTTCAGAAAAAAATAAAAACAACAACAGGGCCTCAGAGCTCAGAGTTTGTAATTGGAGTTGGTGCCTGCTGGAGACATCAGTCTGTTTTCAGAGCTGTCAGCGAAGGGAGGGAGACTGCTGGGAGTGATGAGGCAGAAATAAAAGGCAACCAGGGCACAGATGGGCCTGAATTCACACAACAGACACCGGGGTAATGTGTACAATCCTGTCAGCCTGTTACCTGTCCACGGTGACACCACGCTACCTGACAGGTGTGGTGTCGTCCCACAGGACTAGAAGCGGCAGGAGCTGCTCAGCAGTGCACACAGCTAATGGTACCGTGTTTCCTGCAGATTTGCATTGCAGTACAGTTTTACTCTCGCATGCATCTCAAGGTTCTACAGAGACAAGGGCGCAATTATTATGATAAAGGCAGGATGCAAAATGTTTCTGAGATGAAAAACATAGTGAAGAAATTTAGTGGTACTAACCCTGGTGATCTGGGTATGTTCTACTGGCATGTGCAAAATGGCTTAACTGAAGCTCCCAGTTAAATCAGTTGGTGGAGTAGTTTGTCATTTCTCCTTCTGATCTGCATATTGAGGCTGCTAAAGCATGAATCTGTCACTCGGGGGGCTGGCACTTCAGTGGTGGATAAAAAAAGCATATAAGATCCTTTGTGATAAAAAGCACCATATACCTGTGCAATACATTTATATCTATATTTACATCCATATCTATATCTACATCTATATTTATATTCATATGTGTGATACGATTTTTGTTTACTGTTCTGTTCTAGTTTGTTCTTTGTGTGTCCGGACTGTGAGTAACTCTTGTATTGTATTGTATTGTATGTATTGTACTATTATTATATAATTCGTTACACTGTGGCTGTGTTGTGTGTGTTAAGCTGCTGTTGCACTGCAATTTCCCTCACGGGATCAATAAAGTATCTATCTATCTATACTGTAAATACCGCTGTTATAAATAATAGGAATGTGAGCATCACTCAGTATTGGATAAAGCTCATAGAAAATGGATGTATGGATGGATGGATGGAACAGGAACGTGAATGAATGTTGCTATTTTATTATCTTCCTTACAGTGGCAGCAATGAGTTCCTGAAAATCTGATGCCCATATACAGGTACTTGGTGGTAAAAGCCATTTGTGAAACTTGGTATTCTTATCACTCGAGTCAAACATTTGAGGAAACGTTGTTGTTTTTTTTCCCTTTGCAGATCCTGAACTCAATCATTCTACTGAAGGCTTTAATGTTGCGCTTTACTTCGGCTCAACTGAGCTTCCGTGTTTGATAGAGATCAATAAGCACCTGTGATTAATGGGTGAATTATGATTAATGTAGAATTTAGCTGCCCATGAACAAACTGGTTGTAAATCATTGTGCGACCCGCTGCAATCGTGAAATTCACTGCCGGAAATTTCAATTAAATTATTGATTGTGTGATGAATGTTGTTTTGGCAAATGTTATTATCACCTCATTTGATGATAGCTTGCTTCATACCAGTATACTTTATGTAGAAGATGATTCATTCATTAGAGGTGCTGAATGAAGTCAAGGCACGTGGTAAACAAGGCTGTCTGTTATTAACTATCTTTTACTTTTATTTAAAGTATCATCTGCAGAACATGTAGTTTAAATTATTTTGCCCCTTTTCTGCAGTTTTGGCTTCATTTTTTACATGAAACTTAATTATGTCAAGTTTTAAAGTTGGTTCTGCATCATTTAAGTAGTGTCTGATTGCCTCTGTAATTTTTAATTTCAAACATTTCTTGTGCCACTTGAGATCACATGATGTTGGAATAAATTAAACTTCTAAGAGCATACAGAGAGCAAGTGTTGCAAGACATAAATGAAAATACGTATTCTCAAGTAACCCAAAAGTATCATAGTGAAGTCTGTAATCTTTTAAGATTTAAGTCTGAAGCTTAAATTTAAGCTTAAGGCTTAAGGGCAATGGGCAGAAATGTTAATGGACATATAATTGCTTGAGCAAACTGCAACATTTTTTAAATTTTGGTAAATAAATAAATAATCTAAATAAATGCTGAAAAATATTTATGAAATTTTCAAAGAAACACTCTCACACTGTAAGGTTTATTCATAATAACTGAAGAAAATTGCTGTGAATGCTTTTCAAGAATTCAATACTAATTCATTTTGGTAAACCTGAGCCCGCACTCAAAAGTTTGTGGGTTAAATCTATAAGAAGCAGTTCTGTTTAGTTGCTCTGATGGAATTATTGAAAATATCATTGAAAATTAACCTATTCCTGGGGTACAGACAAGGTGAGCTGTATTTAGTTCAAAATCGGTGTATAAATTTTCAACTGTATCGAGGAGCAGGGACTTTCAGCTTCATTCTCTGCAAAGTAGGACATTGCTTTTTCACAAGGCTTACTTTTCCTGCCCATCTGCTGAATCACAGGTTTCAGTAGCCTTTTTATTACACAGAAACGTGGGGAGGGACTCCCATTTTCAGCGCAATAACTGATGCACAGGCCCTGCAATATTAAAATTCTCCACCGAAAAACTGTAGACAGTGAAGCTCTTTTTCCACAGCACAGCCACACCTCAGGTAGGTGCATAAGCTTCAAGCCTGGGGTCCCTGGTGCCACCAGCTGGAAAGGTGGGGGTGGGAGGGATTATACCTCGAAATTCCCCAGGAGAACATAGCGCAGAAAGTCAGTATGTAACTCTAGGTAAACAAACCGACCTCTCTCTCTTTTTGTCCCAGGTTATAGTCGAGAGATGAATGGCATGTAACCTGCCAGCAATGGCGCACAGGAAGAGGCAAGGGACAAGCAGCAGCATGGTGGAGCCCAGGGTGCGGCCCTGCCCTGCCGCGTTCCCGGCTGCCCCACAGAGAGAGAGACGGTCGGACCCTGAGCCAGAGGACCTGGAGAACCAGCCGCAGCGCCAGTTCCACCCCGAGAGCCCTGACCTGAAGGACAGCCGGCCTGCCACCCCAGACCATACCGACCAGGACTGCCAGGACCACAGCGCTGACGGGGACTCCAGCTCCGACTACGTCAACAACACTTCTGAGGAGGAGGACTACGATGAGGGGCTGCCGGAGGAGGACGAGGGGGTGACCTACTACATCCGGTACTGTCCGGAAGACGACAGCTACCTGGAGGGCATGGACTGCAATGATGGAGACTACATCCCCCACCAGGAGCCCTCCGTAGAGACTGACGAGTGTCAGGAGGCCGTGGAGGAGTGGGCCGAGTCCGAGGGGCAGTGCCCGTCCCTGGACCAGGACGCTGACCCGCAGGCCTATGAGGACAACCCAGAGGAGGTCTTGAATGACCGTGCAGCCTCTCTGCAGACTCCTCTCCCAGGAGAAGAGGAGGAGGAGGAAGTGGAAGAGGAAGGAGAAGAGAGCGAGGAGTACTGCCCCAACGAGGAAGGCTTCCCTCAGGACTATTACAGCCAGGAAGCTAATGGGAACTCTGTCCGCGTCTCCCCTTATTCGACCCGGAAGGCTGATGGGGAAGCGGGAGAGGACCAGGAAGAGGACATTGACCAGATCGTGGCCGAGATCAAGATGAGCATGAGCATGGGCAGCTTGAGCAGTGGCACCGACCAGAGTCCGGAGGAACCTGGGAACGACTCGCTGCCGAAGGACTTCAAGGACGTTGCCGCCAAGGCGGATCCTGTCCTGTACGCCGGTAACCGGCACGAGGGAAGGCCCAAGTCCCTGAACATCCCGGCAGCCTCCAGGCACAGCGCTGACGTCCAGAGGGGCTTCAAAGTGCGAGCCAGAACTCCGGAGGAGAGGCAGAAGTGGGCCCAAGAGCAGGTAGGAGTGTCTCCAATTGTTTTTTAACTGCTTCTTCCAATTCAGGGTCACAGGGGAGCCCGGCAAACAATGGCTGTAAAGCAGGATACACCCTGGACAGGATGCCAGTCCATCGCAGGGCACACACAGACACAGACACTCACAGAGGGCCGGTTTTCCCTGAGGTCAATTAACCTACCAGTATGTCTATGGACTGTTAACCACATTCAATTAACCTACAGTATGTCTAGGCAACCACACCACCCAGGGGAAATTCACGAGAACGAGGGGCATCATACAGTCCCCACGCAGATAACACCCCAGATCCAGAATTGAGCCTAGTGCCCCAGTGCTGCGAGGCAGCAGTACTTACCACTGCGCCACTGTGCCACCCCAACAATAACCAACAAACAAAAAACTTAGAATAAGTCATTTTAAAGATGCTATTATCTTAGATGGCTTAGAAGAGTAGTGCAGTTCAAATGTGCACCAATACCTGCTGTTCAAATTCACCTTAGTGGTGCCATGGTTTTTCTTATTACTAAATTGAAACGCTATGGGGTAACCCATATTATGTCAGGGTCAAAGGTGAGGTACGGACCAGTACCTAGCCGTTTATTTGAAGAACTTGATTACTCAGGCTTCATTCCTCTTGTTGAGGTCTGACCATGCAAGAAAAGACGCTCATTTAAATAAGCTTCGCATTCAAAATTGGTAATAGCTTCATAGCGCTTTTCATCTTCAAGGCTCCAAAAGGTGGTAGCGCTGCTGTGGATGAAAAAAGAATGGTGCAGTTGATTCAAAAGGCAAGTGAGATCTAAGCTTTCTGGAGGTTTCTGAAAACTCTTGAACATTCCCATTTTTGTCAGTTGTAAGTTTTTTTTTTATAACAGTAGGGTGTTTTTTCCTTGTTAGAAAGTGTTTTTCAGCCGTGTTTAATTAAAGTCATGTTGAAGGACAATCAGCCTATGAAAACTGTCACAGTGTTAGTTAAGGGAAGTCACAGGAAAATTAGCCTGCCATGTCATAAGCACATTTTACTTTGAGGAGTGTGGCACAGCCTGCTTTAAAAGAACTTGTGGAGTCGTTTTCAAACTGTCACATTATAATTGAACTGCTTGAGAAATCATTTATACGCAGTTCCACACTCATTTAAGTCCCAGGGAAACATTTACATAGCACAGCTATCCTATCCAGTGAATGATTTATGTTTGCAATGTCTATCAGTACAAAGTAAAATTTGCTATAAGGAAGGTTTTAAGTTGCAGGACACATGTAGTCAAAACACAGGTTTTAACCTCAATGAATGTGATGAATTCAACCTTTTCATTCCGGTTCTTCTCTAGTCATTTATCCTGGACAGTGAGCTTTATGCAGCCAAGACTGAAACAGATAGTGGGCTGTCACATTGTCATAAGCAATATTGAAGGCTTCTGCTGACAAATCAGAATACACTCTGGCAGATTTCTTTTCAGACTGAGAAAACTGTGGAGGTGGAACAACTTTGGTTGGACCAAGTGGGAACCTGTCACCAGGCACCAAAAATGTTTCAGTGTGGTCGCACAGGAGCAGAGAATGTGGTTTCCAATTTTATTTAATAATTTTTTTAATGCGCTTTGTTGATCCGAGTCCACTTGTTATTTTTGCTTTTTTAGTGGTACCCTCGAAATTTTGTCTGTAAAGCCACCTAACCCCAGTGTCACCTCACCTCTGGAGGACCCGTGGGATGTCCTGTCCTCAGAATCTCACAGATACGACCTGGGCTGTGAACACAAAATGTCATAAAATTGTTTTCCAGAGAGATTGTCGGCCAGAGAGCACAGTGATTTGCTATCCAGATCTCATGCAATGCAGTGACTTTCAACAAAGAGAGGGCACAGGTCCTAATGTCATTAAAAGAATACCCTATATATTGCCTGGGTTGGAAATGAATGTTTCCATTATAATTCCGGGTGTTTGATCATTTAGTTTCTATTGCTTTAATTGTATCTGCCACTTACAATTAATATATTAAATGATTGTGCTGGATGATTGTGATCATTCCTCTTCTTAGGACAGCATATTCTTTGTATCCACACCACCCCACATTCAGTACATAACTCAGAGCCTGCCTGTGCATCCTGTTAGCATTTGCATCCACTTAGTCTTTGTTTCTCATTATCCTGAAGTGTTACATCTCGGTATAAGCAGATGGTAAGGTGAGAAAACAGATAATTCCTACTGATGTCTGCATTTGAAACCCATTGCTTTGCACCTGTTATGTTGTGTAGGTGTGTGTTCAAAATAATAGGAGAGAGAATAATGAACTTGGGGTCTCCGGAGTTGCATTTTTATCTAAAGAGAGCCTTAAAAGTGTGTGCAGTACCAAATTAATTTCGATATTTGCTAGTGGAGTTTATCTTAACAAAGCTGTAAACTGTGTGAATCTGTAATTTGGTAATTATGCTTTGGAGTGTTTTCAGTTGCCTTGCTTTCTGGATATTATCCATCAATTTTTGGACCACTTTTTGTCCACTTCAGGGTCACGGGTTGAGCTGGAGCCTATTCCGGCAAGCAAGGGGCGTAAGTCAGGATACACCCTGGATGGGATGGCAGCCCATCTAAGGACACACACAGACGCAGACAAAAACACACTCTCACACCGGGGACAATTTTCCCTGGAGCCAATTAACCTACCAGCATGTCTTTGGGCTGTGGGAGGAAATCCGGAGCACCAGAGGAGACCTGCGTAGACTCAGGAAGAACATACACATTCCACACAGATTAGCACCCTGGGAGCTGAGCCCAAGGAAGGCTTCAGTGTTGTGAGGCAGCAATGTGAACCACTGTGCTACCATGCCGCCCTCTTATATAATCCTTCCTGTTAAATCAGTTATGCATGGTTGCCTCCTATAACTCAGGACTGAATACCTATGGCTTGAGATCTGTGCAACACAAGCCAGAGTGCCTGCGGTTTGGCCAGTGTTCATGGTCCTGTTTGAATTTTCCTTCCTTGTGACACAGTCAGCTTTTTAGAGAGCTTTTCAGGCGCTTTCTGCTGGAGTAGGCACCTGGCATGACAAGTACTGTAGCAATCGGGACTGAAAAAAACAAAACCATTTAATTTATTGTAACAGAAAAAGAAAATAAGCATGAATGAAAGGTTCCGTATTTCAGGAAGAGCTCTGCAAGTTAATGTTGGACCACATGATATGGCAATACAGTGTCTTTTGCCTACAGTTGATGAGGAGAAAGCTTTGGAGTTTGTTTGGATCAAAAATACACATGTGCACAGGACTAATAGACTATTTAGAGAATGGTGGTAGTGCAAATGATACTGCCATTCATTGACATCCTGAACAAGAATGCTGTTCAGGTTGTAAGAAGAGCAAAACTCAATAACAGACTCAATAAATATGCTGTTAAGATTGATCTGCTGAGGTATATAAAATGCTCAATAACCTAATTAAGAATCTGTAAAGTATGTATGCAGTATGAATAACACAAAAAGATGAAATATTGAACATGCTTTCTATTAAGATATTAATCAACTACTGCACATGTTAGCAATTATATTTAAGATGTCACTTTGTGAATTAAAAAATAACTATGAGTAATTCAAAGACTGACATGAAGAACATTCAAAGTCTGTTGCATTGTTGAATTTACTGTAGGTGTAATGCACTTAATATTTAAGAATTTAGTTCCAAGCACTTGGAAAAGGGCAAGTCATGCTTTTAATGAAAGGAAATTGAATAGGTTACAATGGATGGGTTGCAATACCTGAAATCCTGTGATCCCTGGACACCCCTGAGAGAAAAGCAAACCACTTTGTTCAATACTAATCATTTAGCGAGGGAAAATCCATGAAGGAATCAACTTTCAAAGAGTAGCTTTAACTGTTGAAATTATTAAGACATTTGTGGGTAAATTTGGTTGGTAGCCATTTGGTAAATTTGACCATTTGCCTGCAATTTACAATTGGCAGCCCACTGAAGCTAAGCAGGTGTGAGCCTTGTCAGTACCTGGATGGGAGACTCCTGGGAAAAACTAAGGTTGTTGCTGGAAGAGGGGTTAGTGGGGCCAGTAGGGGGCGCTCACCATGCTGTCTGTGAGGGTCCTAATGCCCCAGTATAGTGACGGGGACACTATACTGTAAAAAAAAAGACGCTGTCCTTCGGATGAGACGTAAAACTGAGGTCCTGACCCAGGGCTTTATTCGAAAAGAGTAGGGGTGGAACCCCGGCGTCCTGGCCACATTTGTTCTTGTCTTGACTTGGGTCTCGCTCCAGATGATATTCAGCTGTCTTCTGGATGGGGCTTGTCAAAGGCACAGCAGCGAATGATTGGTAATCATTGCAACCTGTTGTATTACTAAAAATCATATCATTAGGACTTCCTTGGATCCGCTAAACACGAACTTAAAAACAATATGAGGGGATTTTACCTGTATTTTGTACAGTAAAGGGTCAGTGACTCCTTTAGTAAAATGATATTTCTGATACTTCAGCAGCTTGCTCTTAACACTAAAACATTTGGTGCAAATTACCATTTGGTGCTTTGTGTAGACCGTATTCAGCCCAGTGCTTGAGTTTAATCTGCTTGCAACTTCAACAAGCTTAGCTTTCTTGGAGTTGAGACACAGGGTCAGGTTCATATAATTGCTTCACTTTCATTTGAAAAAAAAAGGTCTCGTATTAAATAGGTTTTCCAGGAACAGATTGTGAAACAAACAGGTATCAAAAGCCTGTGGTGAAAGGAAGTAATAACATGTGCTTCCTGCTCCCCCTGAAGAAGCCTGCATCCCCTGTTTAGCCTCTGGATGGCACAGAGTATTTTGCATTGACAGGGCTCTTGTTACTTAGCCTTAAAGAATCATCCCAAAGCAGACAAATCCAGTGGAGCTTTAACAGGTGTGTTAGATCTTTTGACATGTCCTTGTTTGTTTAAAAGGCTCGGGTAATTCAGAACCTGCTTGCCAGCCTTGCCCGTTGTGTATTTCTAATTTCTCTTAATAATACGCAGGTGTCTAACAACCCGGAACAGCCTAGAAAACAGCAGCGATCTGATCTTAATGGGCCAGCTGAAAATAACAACATCCCAGAGGTAAGAAGTGTGTGAAGTGTGTGGCTATACCATACTCCGACATATGGTATTAAAGAGCAGAACAGCTCCCTCCTCCCCACTGCTTTCTGTGCCTACAGTATCTGCTGCAGTGTCCTTTCCTCTCTGACCTCTGTAAGATCTGAGCTGAGCTGTTTCTGGAGCGTGGTTTGGTGCCTTCGATAATGCTTGCATTATGGGAGAGTGTTGAGGTTGTCTCGGGAGGGTTTTGCTAGTGAGGCGGCTTGTCTGCTGTGACTCCCGCTCACTGCTGTTGGACCTTTCTGGTACGAGCTCATTGTGATCTGGAGGCAGAGATTGCCTGCAGCGTTTACCTGCCTCCCTTGGCTTGGCTGTCTTTACTCCTTGTTGGAACCCTTTTTCTGGGCCTGGAAGAGCTCCCCTGAACATAAAGAACCTGGTATCTGCTCAAGATCAGATGGGTCAGCCCACTCTTGCTTGGCATGCTTCAAATTTCCCTTAGATCATATCTTAGCAACACAACCTCTATCACTAAAGCCCTGTCTCGAGTAATGAAATCGGAAAGAGTGGAAGGACAAAATGTCTCATGAGTGCCACCATGTTCTCAGAGATCCTCTCTTACCCTTTCCAGGACTGTCTCCTGTATCCTTCCGAGTCCTATGATATTGTAAAGGGATTTTTTTTTAAAATAAGATATACAGTAAGTGTAATCTTGACTTAAACACTCCCAAAGATTACAACAACAGGCTTGATTTTGAAGACAAACTATATTACAGGGGTAGAATATAGAAAAAAATATATTTTTCTCTTATTTAAAAAAGAGGTTTCTACAACAGAAGAATCCAGAACTGGCACCACCCCATTTTAACATACTTTCGTGTCTGAATAGCAAACACTATTGATTTGAACAGGAACTGAGCCCTTTGCACAAAATCCTGTCTAATTAAGTTGCCTTGGCTCAAATTCCTCCTGTCCCAGGATGCTCGTGCTGAGTGCTCATGGGCAGACTGCCCTTTTCTATTCAACCCAAGCCCAGAATAGTGTCACTTTTCCCTCTTATTAAATGTATTGATTGGACATCAGGTTGGTGGGGTGTGGGTACTTCTAACACTTTGCCATTATTTTAGTAGCAGGAATGTTTTCTCAACACAAAATTTTCTTTTGTAAGGAACTCTTGCACCTGACTGTTATTTAGAGTACTAACCCATTTTTGGAATTTTTACATGTAAAGTCGCAGTCGTTGAGACATCTATGACACAGGTCAATGCTATACCAAGTAATAGGTTTATTCCATGCTGAAAAAAAGAAGAAAGAGAACACAACGTTTCGGCCGTGGAGCCTTCTTCAGGTGCCTTCTTCACAACTGAAGAAGGCTCCACGGCCGAAACGTTGTGTTCTCTTTCTTCTTTTTTCCAGCATGGAATAAACCTATTACTTGTTCCTTTGCAGCCTACGCATGCTGACGCAGCTACCCACCTGAACTACAATGCTATACCAAGCCTAGCTGACCCATACACATTATTTTAAGTCCACAGTTTATTCTTTCGTGTCTAATTATAGCAGTTTTTCTTCATTATTTTGACTGACCTACACATTATGTTTAAAATAAGATAAGCAAGCACATAAAGCTTTTTCTTATAAAACAATGGAAACAGAAACATTAAAATGTACTATGGTTTTTGATTTTTTGTTTGTTTTTTTGTCAGGAAGATATGAATTACTTGAGCTCAGCAATGTTCTCTTGCTAATCAAGCTGTAAACCATGTAAGAATATTAGCACAATAAATCTTGAAAAGGTTCAAAAATTAATCATCACGACTTAATGTTTTGCAGCAAACAAAGAAAACTGCATCCTTTCCCAGCTTTGTGGACGGTAAGGCATATTGTCTCCTTTTTACAGCAGAGTCCATTTTTCCTTTGTTGTCCTTGGTGCTTGAGGTTGTAGTCTTTCGAAAGAGAGAAAGAAAAATAAATTGTGTACAAGAAGATTAAAATATCGGGGTCGTGGAGTGTTTTGTGCATGGAACAAATGGATGTACAATGCTGCAGAGATTGCTACAAGGTTTGAATTGGAATGAAAATGTGCTGTTTTCCCTTCAAGAATTCTCCGAATCTGCTAAGTTGTGGCTGTGATGGGCACAATGTAGAACTGGGAGTCTGACCGCTGTGATCTCGCAGGCTTCAGTGGTTTATTGTTTTGAGTTTGATGGAAGACCTTTCTTAGTTATCTTTTCCTCACAGTTTATTTGCCTCTCCCCTTCAATTCTATAGCTGTGCAGCTGGGTGGATGACAGTGAACCAGAATGATAGCATTCCTGTCAAGATGCCTGTCCAGACAGATGGGCTTTAATTGCTGCCTCTGATGTTGAATGGATGAAAGTAGTACTGTGGCTCCAGTGAATGCCACCATGTTAACTAGTCAGCCTGCGTTTGCAACCCTTTCCTTTCCTTGCTTGAACATTTCTTCATTGATTGTGTTAGCTAGCTACTGTAGGTAGTAAATTGGCAAATAAAATATGGATTGCTACATCACCCCACTTCAAAAACACTAAACCCATTTGTTTCTCTGATGCACTTCATTGGGGAGTGACTGGGTATGAATTTGAGGCCAGAGTATTCCTCTAGCCTTCCTTCACCATTACCTCAATCACCCAGACACACAAACACTGTACGGAAGTTCATTTCTGCAGTATTCCAGGCCTACTGCTCTCCAGACTGACACAAACCCATATTCTCTTCTACTGTGCTGATGCCTATGTGAGCACTTGCAGTCGTGCCATCAATCCCTGTTACCTGCCAAAACACTGCATGGGAATCCAAGTGATGGCAACACGGTCTTGGGAGTTACAAAATGAGAAGAATCTTCTAATTTGTGTGTTTGTCGACTGGTCTAGGCTTAAACAAAAGTGCAGTTTCTAAATCACTCTGGTCTTGTTTTTGGATGGGCAGTAAAAACGCATCTGTTGTGATTTGTCGTTCAGATGGAAAAAATGGAAACAAAACAATGAAAAATATACACATTATTAAAAGAGTTACATTTAGATGTTGAATGATGTATCCTTAATGAAAGAGCTGTCTTAAACAAGAGTCCCAGTTTATATGTTTCTATTAGTGTGATCCCTAATGTAGCGTATTTATGCTTACTCATCTCTATCGCTCACAGTATTTTACTCACCTGTTGCTATGAGTAATTTATTTACCAGTTGCTGTTTAAAAGGACATTGTTTTTTTTTTTTACTTTTAATGGCTTAAAGATTCACAATATTAACACTGGAAAACATGACAGTTTATTAATCTCCCTGTGAGGTACTGAAATAAAAAGATCATAAATACTAATTCAGATATTTTCTAACAGCTTCTAATTCAGGGTTCTGATTCAGAAGTGGACACAGGGCAAGATACACCCTGGACTGGACACCAGTCCATCACAGGGCTGACTGACACACTCGAGCTCGCCCCAGGGACAGTTTTCCCAATAGCCAATTAACCTACCAGTATGTCTTTGAACAGTGGGAAGAAACCAGAGCACCCAGAGGAAACCCACACAGAGAGAACGTACAAACTCCACACAGACAACACCTCAGGTCCAGAATTGAACACAGGGGCCCAGCCCCATGAGGCAGCAAGGCTAACCAGTGTGCCACCTGTTATAAATATTCATTTTCAACTTTAATAAAAATAACTGAGAGTAAAAGAAGAGAATAATGTGATTTTGCGAATTCTCTCTAACAGAATACTGTAAAATGGTAGTAGTTACTACACAGTTCAGTAAAAATAGTCCTTTGAAATGCTGCAACACTTTTAGTACAGAACATTACAACTCATGTTCAACATGTCAACTCTAGCTCTTAAAATGCAACCTTATTGACCCTCTCATATGTACCTTAATATTTATTGAAGAGTGCTTCTAATAAAAAGGGAAATCAGTAGTTTAGTTCTCCACCTACAGAAACTGCAAAGATAATATTTTGTGTAGGTATTCTATATTTTTCTATATTGTTTATATGCATCACATCTCCAACATATCACAAACTCCATTTAACCCCTGTCTTCCCTCCCTCTTCAGAGTATTTGCTTTGGCATGTCTGGATGAAATGCAGTGCAGATACAGTATGAATTTGTAATATGACAAAGCTGAGAGTGCTGAGGCCTGTGCTTTTCCACGTACCATGTTGTTTGTACTTTTGCAAGGCTGGGCTGGAGTGAGACTTTTGGGAATGATGTGCTTCCTTCATGTCCAGAGCTTGTTGACGGCACGTTTAGACACCGCTCTCTCTCTCCACCCCCCCTTCCCTCCATCTTTCACCCCAGCGCCCTCCTGGCCAGCAATACTGTATGTCAGACTGTTTTAACGTCAGCACATTTCTAAAGCTGATTAGTTGTACTGTACCAGGTCACAAGTTCAGCTAGTCTTTTAGTCTTTTTTTAGACTTTTTAATCAGTGATATTCATGATTTTAGGGTTTTTTCTTTACTTGGGACAAAACAGGGCCAAAAAAAGCCCTTCTCCTGCTGTTACCCATTCACATTTCATAATCCAGCTAGATGTAAACCTGTTGTGGTTTTATAATTTAATCTCTCCTGGTCAGTTTATATGCTGCTGTGCTGTGATGGGATGATGAGAAATATTCCATTTGGTGATGTCAGGTCATCGGAGTAGTACAATTGTTGTTCTTGTTATATAGCAGCTTAATTTCAACTAGTTCGTTTTTCCTTTTTTCTTTTTCTTTTCCTTTTTGGAAATTGTAACTTATAGTGGAAGGAGTGGAGTGTGTCTTACCAGACCTATTATCATTTTTGTTGTTGTTGGACAAAATGTGTCTTTAATGTTGTATCATTTATGACATTTTTATTCTTTCTTAATAGCATTTACTTGAGACTGTCAGAAGTGTTTTTTCACTAGGATCCAGGGCATCCAGGCTTTTTAAAATTACTTGTGATATTAAATGTATGAGCTCCAGTTTTTCTTTGCATTGCTGAAGATCATAGTATTACAAATTGTGCATCTCCCTTTATTGGGAAAAAGTAATTTAAAATTTGACAGCTGCTGCTATGACACAAAAGGGAGCATTTTAAAAAATGTTTTTGTTCATTATTATCTAAAGGAAGCAGACACGGTGAAAAATCAAAACACTTTTCCAGTGGAAATTTATAATACTATTCCTGTCTAATAATTGCTCTGTTTTTGTGGTATTTTGAGAATAAGTGGATAGGCAGATAATGTAAAAACCTATATGAGTAATTTACATTTATTTGTCCCCTACCTTGTAAAATTATGTTGTGAGTCTGTTTAAAAAGAAATGATGCAATAAAAGCCTGACAAGCATGTGATTAAAGAGCAGCATGTAATTTTCAGAAGCGGAACAGAAACCATAAATGTACAGAATGCTGCAATTCAGAACCACCAACAATCTGCTGAGTCTCTCCGTCTCTGTCTCTCTCCATAGTTCCAGGACCCTGTGAGCCAGAGGATCTTATTGATGGCATCATATTTGCAGCCAATTATCTGGGCTCCACACAGCTTCTGTCCGAGCGCAACCCCTCCAAAAACATCCGCATGATGCAGGCCCAGGAGGCAGTGAGCCGTGTCAAGGTAGTGTGTTAGTATGAACGCAGGAAGAAATTAAAATCTAAGTTGACCTCTTTTCATTATACAGTATAGTTTTTTTTTTTGCATGCCTGGTATTATGATTATCCACTATGTCTCCTCCTTAACCCGAACCTCACTTTCAATCCACATAAGGAACAGCCCAGCACCTGAAAATGCAGGGGATGGCCGGTTTACTGTGCTAAGGGACATTGAAAATTCAATGCCAGGAAACAAGAAGCTAAAGGCTGGTGCAACTTGTTATGTTGCGAGTCCTCATCAACCAGTGCGTTGTTTGTGTGGGAGGACCGTTTCTGTACATCTGCTTCACTATTCTCCCCTGAATCACTGTGTTGTGTACAGTTTGAAGGAACCGTGGATGTACAGTACGTGTAGCTACAACATTGCAACTCTGGCAAACGTTTCTGTAACTAAATGAATCCAGAATGTTTTTCACCGAAGCATAGGACTCCTACCTTACCCATCGACGTAGGACCTTTTTTACAGTTTACAAGGAGCCTTTCATACAATGAGTGTGACTGAGGATGATAAAGCGTAATCTTTTCCATGTTTTTCACCAATAAACCAATAATATTCCTTGGGCAGAAACTAGCCTTAAAAGGTTACAAAACATATTTCAGTGTTTAAAGCTGACTACTGAATCAACACCCATTACTTACATAGTGAGGGAAGATTGAAATTCCTCATTCCCTTCAAACTGGGAAGTGGGACAAAGAGAGGGTTATAGTGGATTTTCTACTCCAGTAACATTGCACTAATCTGCATTATCTCCTTTCAATGTGCCATAACGCAGAACCTGCAAGGCTGAATTACACAGCGGTACAGAGTGGTCTCCCTGCAGACGCAATCACAGTTTTTATTTAGACAGAATATCTCAAGGGGTTTCTAAAGCATCATACTAAGATTTCGAACCTTCAGAGCCTTGGTGATAATAAAAACAGGTACTGCTCTTTATCAGGGGCCCTGAACAGGTTTGACAGTGCCTAGAATAACCCGTTTAAAATGAGAGACTAAAAAAACAGTGGGTGAGCTGTTATCTTAAACTGAAAGAGCACGACAAGGCAGGGCCTACACATGCTGTTTTTAACAAGGTTTAGTCGTTCCAGATTTTTAATGAAAAGGAAGTCCAGATTGCCCTTTAAATCAAGCTGTTGTGCCATTGGTTATCTATCCAGTGCCCTTTAGATTTTGGCTAATTAACATTCCATTAATGTGTGGTGCAATTAAGTCTTGCATTATGGGATAATGAAAGTGCTAGTGGCAGTAACAGAATTACCTTCTTTAACCAGCTTCCTGTTAAAACTAAAAGGTTTCACATTCTGGTATGAATTTTGAAGGTTTTGCAGGGCTGATTCTCCTCGGCTGTATGGCCACCGAGAAATAATTTCTTAGAGATTAATCTCTGGAATGTCTTGATCGGAATCGGGCTTCTTTGCTTGCATATTACGGCATGAATTGACACAGGGGATCACTGACCTCATTCTACCACAGAATGCAAAATCCAGGCCAGCACGTGGTATTGCGCTGCTACAGTAAACTGGTCTCTCGCCCATACTTCCTGATTGAGCTCTCTTTCCTCCATTTTTCTGGATTAGTGCAGTATGTCCTGATAATTTCCAGACAGCCCAATTGTTGGCTCTGATTTTGGAGCTGCTCACGTTCTGTGTGGAGCATCACACCTATCACATAAAGAACTACATCATTTTTCTGAACGTCTTTTAAGGGGTCTTCACTCCTCTCTCTGCAAGAGCCCTCTGAGCTCCGAGCAGGCGAGTAGCTGCCCAGACTGCACCGTTCACAGCTCCAGGCCAATTTCTAGCTCTTTATGTCAGAATTGGAGCACTTTTTTCTCCCAACCAGCATTTCTCCAGTCATTCGTAATCCCACGTCTGTGAGGTGTCTTCCTAAAGTCACGTGGTGCTGTGCACTTTGAAAAGGCACAAGGACAGTCTGTTGGTTTCAGCTCATTCTGTTATGGTGGCAGCAATGCTAACCATGAACTTGGAAAGTTTGACTTTGTGCTCCAACTTTTAGCTTTGTAGTTGCTGTGCGAAATCTGGATAATCCTGCAGATTCCTGCTTTGGCAGTGGAATTATGTTGTGAACGCCCTTGTGTTTCGTGTCATCCTTCTGTGGCACACGTTTCAAAGACAAAAGAGGGGCTTGAAGTCTGATGTCTGAATGTGCTTAAGGAAGAGTCACGTTGCTTTTCTTAAGGTTGTCCTGTTTCCCAATTCCCTGTAAAAAAAACACAATCTACAATGCTACAATCAGAGCCTTGGGCTTTTGTAGGCAAGACTTGAGGGAGTTGATATTCGACGCGTGCGAGTAAAAAATTGTGCCTCTGCTAGCTACACAAGCCATTAAAGTGAAACCATGGCAACACTACAGATGCTATAGTTGTCACTTCTATTCTAAAGCAGTACTAAGGGTTTTTGCTGTCAAGGAAGTCTTTTAAGTGATGGCACTTGTTTTCTTTCTATACTGCGTCTCTGAGGAGTAATCTAAGCTTTTGAGTCTGCTGGGATCTCGCTGTGTTTCAGATTGCGGGTGGGGAGGGTCCTCTTTTGTATCTCCTCAAAGCCGTATGACTCCAGTGCCTGGAGATTTTGATTCAGATTTTTTACACCACCCCTGCCTGACCATTGGGCCCTGAATTACAGACTTACTGTAGCTCGCCACTGTACTCATTCACATTTTAGGATTTATGGATCTGTTTTTCTCTTACAGTCTGAATGCAGTTTGCCACCAGCTCCTTGCAGGTTGGTTTACAGAAACCAGTGTTGGCAGGCAGTAGCTGTAGGGTGAGAAAAAGGGAAAAGGCATTTCGACCAGATTAAGGCCAAGCAAATGATTTGCTGAGGAGCCCTTCATCTTGGAGTCATCGGTGGTAGCCAAACCTGAAACTTCAAAACGCAATAGGCAGACTCCCTGTCTCGCTGGATTCTGAACTTTTAATTCGTCCAGGCAGGCAGGCAACTTAAAATAACGCCGCAGGCAGGATTGGAACCAGCTTGTGGCAATAGGTGTGCAGTTTGATGTGGTGCAATTAAGTGGTGCCTGATCTTAACAGCACATGGTGTTGGAGAGCGTGTGTCAAGCCGGTCAGGCACCAGGACTGGGATGCCTCAGAGATGCCTGGCTCTTCAAAGCTGTGATTGGCTCTAAGGAAGCACAGTCCACCTTGCCCATTAAGATCCTAGCATCATCCCCGGTATAGCATTCCCCTTAAGCAAAGACAAATTGCAAAAATGTTATAAGTCTAGCTAGTGGAATGGTCCATCTAATTATTTTACTACCTGCCTTCTGTGGGATACCCAAGGTGGTGTGCTCTAACAGAATCTTTAAATGGGCAGGAAGAACAAACATACAAACACAGCTCTATGGCAAAAAAGAAACAGTGCTATTTTATTAGTGCCAGAAACACAGAAAACAAAACCTAAGATGTTCGTCTTTGAGCGTATTAGTACACAACCCTCAACTACTCTAGTAAAGTCTTAACTCAAACTCTAAGTCGGCAGCTAAACTGCAAACCAGCTTGAAAAAGTCCAAAACACAAAAAATGTGATGTTGTGTTATACTGAGGGCTGGCAGGTGTGGTGGCCTTTTTTCAGGTGGTCTACATTTTGTTGTGTTTTGTAAGTGGTGAGCGTTGGTGTTCCATTTAAAGTACATAATTGAGCACGCTGAAGCCCATTTTGAGATGAGGTCTTTGCCAACAACTTTGAAGCAGTTTAAATGAAGAGGAAATCTTTTTCATCCAGAAGGGAATATAGTTTAGGAAAATGAGAAAGAGGAACAGCAAACGCCGTGCTTTGGGTCACTGAGATTGGAGTAGGCATCACCAGCAGCCCGACATCTGTGGAGCTAGATGAGTTTAGGAAATTAACTGGGAGAAACATGTTATTCAGAGCAGAACAGAATTGTCCTCGGGAGCCGTTGACGTGCAGTAGACCTGATGCAAACACATTGAGAAGGAGCTGATCATCTTCAAAGGAAAGCTTTCATAACATTGCACTGTTGTGTTGTAGCCCGTCAGCAAAGAAGCCATTTAAAGCGTTGTCAATTAAATGTCTGTCATCAGGCTGGTCCCAGTGAGAGGCAAGTGCGAGCGTGCAGGATGGGAGGTACAGTACAGAGCAGTGCAGGCAAACAGCATAACAAAGCCTGTCGTGTCTGCCCAGACAATCTGCAACTCTTAAATGATATGCTGCACAAGAACAGAGCAGGTCAGGAAACCGCATCTGATTCAATCTGTGTACTCTGATGGAAAACAGCTGGAACACTGCTGTGGGCACAGGCATCTTTCACCAGCAGAAACTGCTGGGTAAAGACTTGCAGATAAAAATACAATGAAATGAAGAGGGTAGAACTTGCTCCTCATGTCATGTTACTGAATATAAATCGGGGTGAGGAGATATGTAGCATCATGTGGCTAAATTCAGTCATGAGGTGACACAGGGATAGTGGAAAAGAGTGTCCAGTTAGCGGGTCTTCATCTTTTAAAACATGCAAAGTAAGAGAACACTCTCCTGGTTATATAATATTAGGCCATGTTTCATTTGGAAAAGAGACTGCTGTCACTGATGTTGCCTTAGGAGTTCCTTCAAACAGTTGTTATTCATTTAAAAAGCAATGCAGAAAGAGTGTTACTCATCATTCTGTAGAGTGTTAAATGTTTTGTGTAGGGGGAGATTTGTCTTTGTGAGCAGCTTTATACTCAACAGTTTTTATAGGAAAGCTCTGCTTAGTATGTGCACAGTAATTCAAGGCTTAAAAGGCCCAGGAGATTGCTCTGGCAGTGTTTCCTAGGATTTTCAATTTAGCGGGTACCAGTGCGGCATTGATTTAGTATTAGAAAATGCCTTTTTTAAATGACCAGTTTTTATTTTCTAGCTCCGTTATTAGTAAATGTAATTAACTTGTTTTGTCAGAACAGAATTTCGCTGTCGTGCAATCCAGAGTCAATGTACAGATATGGCTGGCCTTTTCATTGTAAAAGCAGAGACCCTGCTTTTTAGCCAGAGATGCTGAGATAAATTGAAAACCTTTCAAATACTAACCTGTCAAGCCAGATAACTCTTGAGGATTGACACCGAGGTGGTTTGAATTACAGACGTCTGCATCACCTCAGATGAAAGAGATTTTCAATCAGGAGCTACGCAAGGATCATTGTTGGGGAACACGGTGCATTAAATTGAGTACCAATAATTAGAGCCTTGACTGAGTTGCAATACCGCAATAGCACTAGATGAGGTAACATTATTCTTTGGCCAAAAAATACAAAATTGGGTGAGCATTACTGAACTGAATGAATAATAATGATTGCATTACACTGGTAAGTACAGTTTGAAGCAGCATGATCATGTAGGTTCTGTATTAATGCCGTATGTGCATGTGATTCTCAAGTTCCTCATCATAAAATAACTGCTGTTCTCTGATAGCATGAAAATGGTGTAACACTGATTGAGATGTTAAATATTCAATGATATTCGCCTAATAGTCTAGTGGTATTTACAGCTAAGCCATGCCTCACAAAAAAATGAAGAATGGTATTCACCCTGCTATACTTAACATTTACATGGTTATTTCTGCCCTGCGAATAGAATGCTAGCTATACAGTACAATGTATCAAGCCTCAAGTGAGGTACAGTACACTATTTGGAAGTCTCATATAAATTTGAGCAAATATGATCCTCTAATTGTGTTGGTGCTCGAGGGATAAGGAGTAGACATACTGTAGCATATGCTCCCTTACCCTTACCGCTTGCCTTGTTTTACTCAGTTGCTGTTAATATTGACAATGAAATATTAACAATCCCTTTTAGTATACAAGAATGGTTTATGTCTGCATGATTTATGGTTTGCCTTGCAAAAAAAAAGAGCAATTATAAACTGGTAATTGCTGTTTTGACTTGTTAATGTGGAACCCAATTGTACCATCGTTAATAATCCTTATTAGCAGCGATGGAGAGACTTTTGGATTTTTGTGTTTCTTTTTTTTTTTATTGCCCTGCGTCGTTGTCCTCCCTGAGTCTGACTGCCCTGTTTCTGTTTCGGTGCCACACAGAGGGTTCAGAAGGCTGCCAAAATCAAGAAAAAGGTGGTGTGTAAAAAGCACTTTGAATCCAACATGCGCAGTTCTTCCTCCACGATGTCTCGTCAGTTTTCGCTTTACGAGCTTTGAACCATTGTGTTTGAGGTTAAATTAGAAGAGGTTAATTCCTGGTGATCTCTGATTCGTATTTGCATATTTCTTTTCTTTATTTGGCAACACCAGGGAAATGTTAATGCCCTCTCTAATTTGCCTGAACAGACCTTCAAACATCTGTGAATGGTTCAAGGTCGTGGTTTCATCTGTTCAAGTGTGCTGTCTGCCTTTCCTCAGAATGTGCTCCATTGCTCATTCTAGTGATGTGTGGGTTAAAATGTGTGCATTTAATTCATTGCCATCACGCATCTTGTATAATGCATGTTTATCCTCTTGAAGATGCGTTTCTGCTTTCTTTTTTTTCTGTCCCCTTGTGATAAAAACTCAAGACATGACAAAAATGACCGGCAGCAGAGAGTACCTGATGGTAGTTTACAGGCGTTACAGGAACATCCAGAGAATCTTTCACATAAGGCGCTCTGTCCAGTGGACTTATACTTCTGTCCAGCAAGCCAACTATTAGGAGCAATGAAATCAACTTGTATATTTTAGAATAACAGCCATAAACCGCTATGATAAATGCTCTTTCGATCACAGTATGCCGGTCAATGCATGTTCATATCCACTTGTTCATTAGAGGCATTTTTCTGTGTCCACAGTGCCCCCTTAAACAGGGTTCAACAGAGCCTGACCAACATTTCTGATTTATGAATAAGCATGTAGGTACTGTAGGTAGATTAGGTCCCCTTCTCAGGCCTTGAAAGCCTATGGAGGAATGGGGGGCAAGGACCACCATATTTTCTCAACCATCCGACACTGGAGGTGGAGGTGATGTGGTCAGTATCACACTCCAGGTGGCTTATTAACCCCAGAAGGATTAATCCCCGGTACTCACTTAGATAGCGGGCTGAGTGGACCTGGGAGCCGTCAGGAAGGAATTAGAGCAAGCTACATCGCTTGCGCATACCCGGGATTGAACCTGGGACCTCCCAGTCAGGAGCTAGACGCCTTTGCCGTCTGAGCTACCCCGGCTCCATGAATAAGCACGTAACTGCTTTAAAGGGAGGTTTAAGAATCCTTGTTCAGCCACCACTGAGCATCGTCTTCTCCTGGAGACACACTGACTGTTTCCCCCTTTGTCTCACCTCAGAGTCCCGAAGGGGACCCCCAGACCCTGACAGAGGTGGACCTCTTCATCTCCACCCAGCGGATCAAGGTTCTGAACGCAGACACACAGGTAACACCTGCAGCCCCAGGGAAGTGCTTAAAGCAGCTGCAGCTCTGGGATGGGGGTGGTGGGCGCAGCCTGATGACCACAAAACACAAGCCGTCAAGGTGAAAAATCGAGGCAGCAGCTGATTACTTAATACAGAAGGTTCATGGTGGGAGTAAATGGTGGGAGACCATTTTTTCCTGTGAAATAATGCTGTGCTTAGTGCCCTCAGGCTCCTGATGGCATATTTGATTTCTGTCTGAACCTCTCTCACATTAGAGAGTGATTGTATTTTGTATTACACTCATGGGTGGATAAAAAAAAATCTGAAAGACTAGAACTTTTTAATCCAGGAAATCCTTTAAAATACTGTCAATATTAATATGTCTGAGGCATTTTTAAGCTTTTAACAGTTTTGTAATATGCAGTTAAAATATCAGGTGCACTGTATAGGTACTGTATATGACCCTATGGGCAGGAACAGTGACCCAAGGTAAGCTTTCACAGTAATCCCCAAAAGAAATAGTGCAGTTACTGTACATCGATGGGTTTTGAAGTTCTAAACATAAGTAAAAAAAATCAGATTGCATTTCTAATAGGGGAAACCTGATGATCAGTGATGTTTAAGAAGACATTTGATAAAGGTGCTTTTATAAAGTTAAGGTTACAATGCATAGCAGAGCAAAAGTATTTTGACACAGTTATTACTTAATAAGATTCCAGAGACCGGAATAATATAGAAATAACAGAAAGTGTTGCTGGAGCCTTTGTTCCCCCAGAAATTTGGAATTGAATGTTTTTTTATACCCTACCGATTTGGGATTGCACTAGGAATCAACGGTCTTCGACCAGCGATGCTCTGGCGTGCGATATGAAGCTGTTATCTGCTTCCAGGCTCTGCTCTGAGCTGTCTGTGTGTTAGACTTGGCCAGGAGAAAGGAGTCCCAGCACGTTCACTGCTACCCGGCATGTCTCGGGGGTCACTGCGGTGCAGGGGTTTCAAGATACGCCGGCTGGTTCAAATCCTTCCAGGCCCGGTGGTGTTTGGCCAGTCGCTCACCTTTGTGTGCCCAGTGTGAACGAATCGTTGAAGTCATTCTCAAAAGAACAATTCTGGAGGTGTGTTACTTGCTGCGCCGGGCGGCGATGGATTCTGAAGTGAAAATGATCGGCTCCCCTGCGACTCGAGAGACCCACACGTGCTTGTTACTCTGTGCGTTGCGTCGTGTCGTAATTACCGCTCCAGGCCTTCTTGTCACCAAAAACCTCTCCATTTAATGACAGGACTCTGAATAGCCTCATATTCTGTACAGTGTTCTATCATTAAGTCTTCAGTCGGTGTCGAAAAATGAAATGAAAATTCATTAACATCAATTCTTAACCCAGTAGAGCTTCATTCTCTTTCAGTCACTTCTATTGCAAGCTGAATGAAGCCTTGAGAAACTGGCAGCACGTATGCTATCATAGAGCTGTTTCTTTAGGTTAGATGCTGCGATGAAGTGTGAGAAATGTTGTTGAACACTGATACTCTATGAGGGGTCTATGAGGGGACTGGCAGACACCCATTTTCTGTTTCACTGGTGGGAAGTGTGCAAAGACTTAACCCCACAGTGTTTTTGTTGTTTGTGGTTTTCTCTGTGCGGTGCAAACCACAAAAATGTTCATAATCTTTCACACAATCCTTCAATCCGTGCCTCCGGGTCCTACACTCGAACCCCTGAGTCTTTTTGAGACTGGTGAAGGGAATGGTAGGACAGCAGCTGTTTCCGTTAGTGCTGGTTATTAGTGTGGTAACTGCAGTTCCATCTGGACAGCCAGACCTAACTGCAGTCTCCAATGTAAAACAAGGAAAAGTCCACTTGGCTTCAGAGCTTTGTTAAAGCCCTCTGATAGTTTGGATAAATCTACAGAGCGCTGCTAGCAGCCGTCACTTCAGTTCAAGACTGACACTGTGAAAAGAGCCCGTTTCAGACTCGTCCCTCTCCTCGCTCCAAGAATAGGAGTGGGCTGTGCCCTGAATCCTGGGGGAAGTATGAGGGATGATATCCACTGTCTTCCCAATTCATCACTCGCTTGGTCTTAGCTGGAACAAAAAGATCTCACCTTTTATTAAACATGAGATAAACTGTCTTTAGTCTCTGTGTTACTCCTTTCTTACTACCAGTAAGAGGGGTGTTTATGTTAGTGCCCTGGAGTAGGACAGAAAGCACAGTAAACGTCAATTATTTTGTGTGGTGGCACCACCAGAAAACTGAAAGTTCTACAGTAGATCATCAATTATTTGGCAACCAATAAAACGGTTTTCCACAGCAGTTTCTGGTGGTATTTCAGCATTTGTAGGAAAACTTCTCAGTCAAGCAATGGGGCACCAGGTGAGGGAAACATGAACCTCGACTCCATTGTGTCTGTACTAAAAATGTACTTTACTTTTCATTAAACAAGCTGAAATAATGTTAATGTGTACTTCACAAAACTATTTCTACTGTACTGTACTTTAAACATGCTTTATTCATAACAAACGGTAAGCAAATTCAAAATGGTAAAGACATACACAGCACCCACTAACTCAATGTTATAAAAGTGCATGCAAAAATAAGGTACTATAAAGACATTGACTCTGGTGTTCTGCTTTTTGGAAAATCCAATGACCTTTTTACCCCCAGGGCAATTGATGATCTACTGTGATTCAGTGTCTGTTCAGAAACCGACACCATTACCCTGGGTTACTATGTGTCTTGAATATCGGAGGTGTTACAGGTCAACAGGCAAATCAAGAACCCCCAGTCCCTGTAGCTGGTATCCAAAACAACCTAAAATGCAGCTCTACAGTACATGTTAAATGTTTGGAGAATTCTTCTAGAGCATCATCTGCCACTGAACTATCAGTATATAGAAATATGTTCTGCAGGGGGGTCAATCAAGGCAACCAGAATGGATTGCATCTTCCACGTGTGGATCTGTTCTTGATGAATAGTATTTGGTATGCAGGAATGGAATACAGGAACAGGCCTGCTACTGTATGTAGGACACTGCTTTCAGAAACCTAGGAATCTGGGAGTAGTTTGCACATACTGTACAGGGTTGCTGCAATGCAGTGTTGCTTCATTTCTTCAGCTGATGGTTTTTCTTTAATGGCAAGATACTACAGAAGTTCACGGAACTTTATTAACTGCTGCTGTGAAGAAGTGTACAGTACTGTGTGGAAACTGCGGGGCTCACAGAGACCCAATGACCTTCTGCAAGAAGATGACTGTAAATAATTACAGCAGAAGTGGTGAAGAGCACCAAGGGCATGTTTGAATTTGATTACCAATGACAACTTCAGCTCCAGTAAAAAAAAGATAATCATGCCTGTACATCTAGGACCAAGGGGAAAATTGAGCTTTTTAAGACATAGATCACATTCTTTTATGCTGCAGATCTTAATTTGTATTCAAGACGCGTGTCATAAGGATCAGGCTAATTAGATCTATGTTCATGGTCCTTGCTGTTGACCATATGGTTTTGAATTGCAATGTAAGATTTAAGACATTTTAGATTACATTAAAGGTTAAAGGCTCTGTGCACTGCAGGTATTGAGAAATGAATACTGATGCTCAATATCACTGCATTAATTAAATGTAACACTGAGCTAAGCATTTACCAAAGCTAGGTTAGAGGCACAACCTCCAGCTGTATTCTGCCTCTGGGATTACATTTCAATTGATCAGGAATTAATCCTGTGAAATTCCTGTCGCCCTAAAGCATAGCAAGGAATCAAACCAACTGAAACTCATGACACTGCTAGTCAAAGTGTGTGTGTGTGTGTGTGCAGAAGACATTTTCTCAGTAGCATTAATTTCAAATGTCCTATCGTTGGGCACTTTTGATGTTTTTAAAAATCATCCCAAAATCATTTTGTATTCAAAATGAGAAATCAAATTCTTCAAAACAGAAAATTCATTTTAGACACTGAAGTAAAGGAAAAGTTTTGGCACTTAGAGATGGTGGCACAAAGGTTCGTTTCTTCAGTCCAGTTCGACGCTGTTCAGTGACGAGATGTGAAACTTGTCATCTCCAAATCTGACAGCTGCCCACTTTGTGGATATCCAAGCTGCTGTTTCTGTACCCTTTTTTTCCAAGTCTCCTTAGGCATGCCGTGTCGGCGTCTTGTGCTCTTTCTAGGAGACTATGATGGACAATGCTCTGCGGACCATCTCCTACATTGCGGACATCGGGAACATTGTGGTGCTCATGGCCCGCCGCCGCATGCCCCGCACCGCCTCACAGGACTGCATTGAGACCACGCCCGGCGCCCAGGAGGGCAAGAAGCAGTACAAGATGATCTGCCACGTGTTCGAGTCCGAGGACGTGAGTACTGCTCTCGTTTCACAATGGTCAGGACAGGTGGCGGATTGACGAGCCGGCTCTTCATGTCAAGGGAAGAGAATGGGGCACAAACGAGACTACACCATGGACGGGGATGTCAGTGCCCCAACATGCAGACACCACCCAGAAGGTGTCCTGGGCTGGACTCAAACTGTGGACCCAGGAGCTGACCTCCTGTGCTGTCCCATATCATTAACTCTTACATTAAATATTCGTAAAACCCTGTCCTTCTTACAGCAAGTTCAGCACGTATTTATGTAGTTAGATATCCGAACCAACATTTGTACAGATGTGTCGGAACACAAAAATAAGGTTGTGGCTGAACAGGTTTGTCAGAGCTCACAGTGGATAGAAGAGATGACTAATTTGTGACACAGTGACCACTGCACTGATGTAGTACACCGCTTGACATGTGAGTCATGTGACAGCACAAGCACTCCTGCCCCATTGCAACAGTGCAAGTAAGAGCATATGACAAGATGCAAATGGCATGGACTATTGAACTGATCTCCTTTCTGCTTTTTGGGAAAAATTCACTTGTAGATAAAATACACTCATATAAACACTAGGATGTGTTCAGTCTGTTGAGGTATTGATTATGAATGAATCCCCAGTGGGACTGTGGCACAGTGGTCAGCATTGCTGCCTCGCAGTGCTGGGGCCCTGGATTCAATTCCAGATCTGTGGTGCTGATTGTGTGGCATTTGTACGGTATGTTCTCCCCTTGTTCCTGCGAGTTTCCTCCAGCTTCCTCCGGTTCAAAAACATATTGGTAGGTTAACTGGCTTCAGGGAAAATTGGTTCTGGTTATGACTGTCTATCCTTGTTTCTTTGTCTGTGTGTCTGCCCTGTGACTGATTGTGATGCACCTATTGCTTGCTTTCCTCAGACCCTGAACTGGAAGAAACAGTTAGAAAATCCATCCACAGAGCACAATTTCCAACCCAGTGAATTTTTCAGACATAGTCCTTGTGTCCATGTGCATGTACAACCCAGACACATGAACCTGCACTGGAAGTCCTCCTCTGATGTGTGGGACTTTGTGAGACTTATGACTATTTCAATATATTGTAAAACAATGTCTTTGAACATTGAGTTCTTTGGGTTTCCTTCCTTGTCTTTGTCCCAGTACCCTGGGCATTGATGAGCTGTCACACTCTTTTCTGGCCGGTGTTTGAGGCATGTCATTAACAGGGGCCGTGTGGAAGGCACTCACTGGACATATTTAGGTCCCAGAATCAGCAGTGTAAGAATGGAGTTGTTGAATGTTGCTATACCTTCTGCTTTATTTTGGATAGATGGACTGATGAGTAGGTTGTGTTGCTAAATGTCAATATGCTCGATATAGGTACACAGTTCACCTTGCTTATGTGCACTAGTCTGTAGCACTAGCTGTGCTCTAATCTGCTGATTCCATTCATTCATTGCAGATCTGTGCTTTTCACAACTCTGAGCCTCTTCCTCTGCATTGCAGTTTTCCACAGATTACAGGAGTATAATTAGATGCAATGATTTGTAAAGAAAGATGAGTCAGTGCCCATGACGTTTTTCTCACTTCTTTTGGGATAATGTGCTAAAGCACCTATTTTGAAAAACAATTATGAATTTGTAACAGGTCTATTTAAAACTTGTAACTTTTTGTGTTTGTATTCTTTCTAATGTTAGCTATTGTTATTGGGTAGACAATCTAAAAATGCTAACCCACAGATGCATAGATTAGTTAGTTGTGAAATGAGAAATACAATATCCTGTGTTCTCAACACTGATTTTTTTTTATCAGCACTAATGTCCTTGGACCTTAGCTCTCTGTATAATTATTTCCTGCTGTTGAAATGACATTCACTGAGAGTTTTTACTTTGTCTTCTGCAATGGATCTATTTTTTACAGAACAAGTATTAATTATAGAAACAGAATCTGCTTTCCGTATTGCCATGAAATTTCAATCACCAGGAGCTGTTTCTTGTTATTAGTAACAGCAAGCCAGATGCAGTTTGTCGCATGTCGTCCTTTTATACAGCTCATTTGTACTCTCTGCAGTTCTGATCTTGGGGAAATGAATTTGATACGATTACCATAACCAAATCCTCTTTTTCATGGGAGGTATTTCCAGTTACTCCTACAAGGTAGAGCAGTGGTTCTCAAACTGTGGTACGCGTACCGGGAGTGGTACGTGGCGTGCCGCCAGGTGGTACACCAAATGACCCTGGAACTGTGTTGTGTGCGCTGAAAAAATCGGGACAGGTTTTCATATTTTGGATTTTTTTACGTGTCGAATACGCAGCCTACGTACTACGATACAGTGCGCGCTAATACTTCAGTGGACACAAGAGATACTCTGTAATTCTTTACCACTCTATAGGAATGCGTGCTACGGACGCAAGTGACCAATTGTATTTAAAAAAAGCTACTGTATCTCCGGCAAATAGGGAGAAAGGAGAATGTGCGTGATTTTGGAACAATGCCAATGTTGTAAATACAGGAATGCATAGAAATGTGAGTTACGAATGCTGGTAATCTTGTGAGCACAGGAAAGCGTGATAGATAACAGAAAAATATTAAGAACTGTTTTAAGTTAATGTGAGAAAAATACACCGAGCGTCTCTGTGTTTCTCTCCCTTGCGCATGAAATAAATGCTTAAAATAAACACTGAAATAAAAACAGAAACGTGGAAAAATGCAAGCTTGCGGATTGCTAAAGCAGGTAAGCCCCACACTATTATGTGTGGAGAAAAAGCTGCTGAACAGCTCACCTGCTGCCCCCCCAAAAGACACAGTCATTCATAGAATT